TGAGCTGCAGCAAGGCCGCCATCATCAACATGTCCAGCTCTGCAGGCTCCATTGAGGAACTCTATTTATGGGAGCTTGCTCTTGTTGTCTCGTACCGCTGCAGCAAGGTACGGTCTGCGCTGAGACATTTTCCTCTCCAAAGGATCTCACACGCCTTCCAACCTCCCCCTCCATCCCTGCACCTCTCTGTGCTGTGATGGAGCTCCCATCAGTCACTGGGTCCCTCTGAGGGCACATTCCCATGCCTGGCCTCAGGTTCCACCTCAGATGGACATGACTGAATGGACCCTTGGCTGGACCAGGGGATATGGTGATAGTCCATCAGCACCATGTGCCCCAAGGATCTCCACCTGTCCTCCTCTGCCCCAGCTGTGGGCTCTGCAGTGGTCCCCTTGCAGCCCCCCGTCCCTTCCCACCACCATCCCTGCCCTCTCTCCCCAGGCTGCTCTGAACATGCTGACCAAGTGCCAGTCCCTGGGGTACCGGGATCACGGCGTCCTCTGCGCCGCTCTCCACCCCGGCTGGGTGCAGACCGGCATGGGGGGGTCAGGATCAGAAAAGGTAAGTGAGTTTTTGGCCAAGGTCTGGAAGAACCTCTTGATTTGGGAATGCAGAGCTTCCTGGGGATTGAACAGTCCCAGACATGCTGGTTTCTGGAAGAGCTCTTTGGCGGATGCTCTGAGCTGGAGGCACATGAGGGAAGGAGATGGGAGATGGAGAACTCTTCTTGCCCTGTGCTGGCTTCTTCTTACTCATACCAGAGAGCCCCAAGCCCTGAGCAATGATCTGCTCCAGGACAGACCTTGGCCAGGCCGTGGGCTCACTCACGACTCTGTTTCTCCCTCTGCCCCACAGCCCCCTGTGACGGTGGACGCCAGCGTGCGAGGGATGCTGAAGGTGCTCTCCTCCCTCTCTGAGAAGGACACTGGGACCTTCCTGGACTGGGAAAGGAGGGTTGTGCCCTGGTGAGACACCAGCCCAGGATCCTGGGGGGATCCCAGGGTCCCTTTGCTGCTGCACTGAGTTGTCCCTGTGTCTTAATAAATTGGTGTCTGTAAATGATGAGTAGCACTACCTGAGCCTTCCTCTTGGTCTCCTTTTAACCACCATTGTGAGAGTCTTCACTAATGCTTCGAGAGAACTTCTCAGAGTTATTTCTGCATATAGTTGAGCTAGGTTGGTCTCAGTGTTGGTCTCCTCTGACGGAGGGCCTGGTTGGCCATCATCCTGGTAGGGCTTTGTCCCTGGGCACAGAGGGGCTCACCCCACAGCTCTCCCTCTGAATGGCAGCAGGAGTTATTTCCTGAATGCTGTAGACAATACCAGCTGTGAACGTAGCTGTGGTAACATGGGGGCTTTTTGGGGGAGACTGGGCAGGGCTGGTGGGTACAACAAGAGCCTTTCTGATCACCTTCCTGGCTCATGGGCCAGTTTGGCAGCCAGGACTCCTGGATCCTCTTCTTGAGGACCTTCCTCTGCCCCTGCCTTCCTGCCCACTCCCCAGGTTGAAACCTCTGGCACCAAGGTTGCCCTCATCTACGGTGTCCATGCAGAATCGGTGAGCACAGAAAGGGCTGACAGTGATCCCTGCAGGGGAGACACCTGAGGTTCCACTGAGCCTCCAAGCCCTCTGTGGACACCACACAATCCTCTCACTGGTGTGGATATTGTCTGTCATGTGGAGCACCTTACATGTTCTTATTTGGGGCAGGAACACATTTAATCTCACTCCGGTTGGACTTGGTGGTCCTGGAGGTCTTTTCCAACCTTAATGATTCTATGATTCTATCATCTCCTTGGGTAAGAGTGTGCTGAAGGGTTGTAAGCTTCTTGACTTGGAGCATGACACATCTTTTGCTTGCTTTCCAGAGATCCTTCTGATGTGGGATAGCGCATCTGACTGCATTAGACAGCACTTGGCACAGGATAGGGTGGGTCTTGCATCCTCTTCCTCCCCTTGTGCAACCCTGAGACCTTGCCTTGTCCAGCCAATGCTTTGTCATCGTGTGCCATCGCTCCCCTGCTCTGGAAGCATCAACAGTCCCCCAGCAGGACACTGCCGCCCATAAATGTGGCACAGACCAGCTGCTCTGGCACCTGCGATAAAAAATGAAAGTCCAGATAAAGTGGGAGAAAGTGTCAAGCACTTTCTGGGACTTCTCATCAACGCTGCCAGCCAGAATGAGAAGACCATACCCTGGTGCCTTTTTAAGTTTCTCCTCGTCGTTGGAAACCCCTCCCATTATATCTAGGGAGGGACAATGGCTCCGTTGTTACTTTTCCCAATAGCTTCCTTGAGCAGAGCAGAGGAGGAAAGAGCAAAAAAGGCCCAGAGTATCTGCTTTGTCTCCAAAGCTCCCTCAGACTCAGGGTGGGCAAGGCACAAGGCAGCATCTCCATGCTCTGACAAGTCATTGGTGAGCGTTTTCCTCTCCAGGATACTTACAACTGTTCCTCCTTTCTCTCCACAGTTCTTAGGGTGTCCAGCTCTTAGGAATCGGGATATTCTGTGTTCTTCAAGGCTACACATGCACTGTGAACAGCAAGGTTTCAGTTGTTCCAAGACCCGTGTTTCATATGTCCCAAGGTGGTTGCAGATGAATATCACCTCAGCTACTGCCCTGAAGAAGATGTTCCTGGTAAGAAGATGGATTAAAACCTTTGCCTGCCATTGTACCACCCTGGAGGTATCTGCTAACTGCTCTCAAGGCATGCCCAAATGCTTCAAAGTGTCCTGAGCACAACCTCAGCTTGTTCAAGCTGAACAGGCCACCAAGGAGCAATTCCTCAGAAACACCTCTCGAGTGTCCTTTCTGGCTGTTACACCTTCAGCCAGAGGATCTCTTCCTAATTGCTTTCCTGCTTGGCTCCGTGCCGTTCGCAGTTATGCAATGCCAGGACTCCTGCTTTCCAACTGGAATTTACTGGAGCTGCTTCTCTAATGAATCTGAGATAAAGCTCACACTCTGCCTTTATGGCGCTGCCTACCTCCATGTGAGGACAAAGGTCAGAG